GCAGCAGTGTTGAAACCTCAGTGAGACCAGTTTAGAGTAAAACAGTATTCTGAGAAGTTCTGTTTGCAGTGCCTTGTTAATAGAACCTTGTCTCTGTCCAAACAAGACGTGGTTTACCCACATTGGAAGAGGATTAGCTCTTCCTTTGCTGTGTTCCTGTGAAGACCTGCACCAGAGACTTTCGGTACTGCCGTTTCTTCAGTGGAGCCACTTCAGAGAGAGCCTGAAAGGGAACAGTAGGCTGAACACTTAATCATTCTACTTGTAGGGGCGTGGAGAACAAAGGAAGCGCCCTCAGACATTACCCCAGAAACACAGGAGCCGAGGAATCATGAGGAGCAAAGGCCAGGTGGTTGAATTAGGATTTAAGGATGCCAAAGGAGTCAGGATTTAGGGCAGTGTGAGTTTCCGTTACCATAACGAATGACTGGAGATAAGCAACACAAAGAGAAAAGGCCTTGGTTCAGATCACAGGTCTGGAGGTTCATTTCCTGACTGCTTGGTGCCTGAAGCTTTGGGTGTGTGGTGGCTCAGTACACATCCGCAGTAGAGAAGAGGAGAAAGAGAGGCCCTTGATTCATGGCTTCGAGGGGGAGAGAGAGTTAGGTTCCTGGCAATTCCTGCTGGGGCACACTCCTGATAACCCAGCTTCCTCCCAGTGGTTTGAAACTGGGGTTATGCTGTTAAAGGTATTTAAGATCCGAACGCTAGCTACAGATCATTGTCAGAGATGTGACTGATGGTTGTTTTTGTTTCTTGTCTGCTTCCTTGTTTCTAGATGGATAAGGTTCCAGATGGATGTATCAGCAATCTCTCGGTGCATGTATGAGTGTGTGTGTGTGTGTGTGTGTGTGTGTGTGTGTGTGTGTGCGCACACACGTTTGCATGTTTATATGCTGCAGCATGTATGTAAAGGCCACCTTTGTGGAATTAGTTCTCACTTCCAACCTTTCTGTGGATTCTGGGGATCAAACTCAGTTGTGAGTGTGTGCCTTTACTGTTGGAGCCATCTCTTTGGCCCAGAAACCTCTTTATGTATTTATTTTTGAGCAGGGTTCCATGGAGCCCAGACTGGCGTCATATTTATTACGTATCAAAGGATGTCCTTGAATTCCAGACATCTTGCCTCTCCTCCCAAATTCTGGGATTACAGGCACATGCTGCCACACTGGCCTCTGTCTCTGTGTTTCTGTCTTGCTCTCATATGTGAAACTAACTTTAGAAGACTTGGTGCACTCCATCACGTGGGCTGCAGGGAAAGTTTATCACCCTAGCTGTCTTCACTGCTCTTTCCCCTTTTCTAGCTCTGATCATTCCCTATTCACTTTGGTGCATATGGCATCAGGAAAAGACACAGCTCCCCGCCCCCCCCTCGCCAGAGCTGTGTGTGTGTGTGTGTGTGTGTGTGTGTGTGTGTGTGTGTGCTTATTTACAGGGAGGGCGAGCTTTTTGCTTTTCACTAGATTGTGACTGTTGGGTTTATTGGGCTTGGCTTCTAAAGGCAGTGTGAGATATTGAACTGGTTCACTAGAGAGAAACAGTATCGATTCAACAACTATCAAGTGTCCGCAGCCATTCCAACCCTCACACACTGACCCACGGATCAATAGCTAGCAAGTAGTGAAATAATATTTTAGTTTTATCATAGTTAGATGTAAAACAGGGAGGAGAGGGAAAGAGAAGTGGAAATGGCCTTCGGGTACTAAGGAGGAAAAGAGTGGGAGAAGGGAGAGGAGGATTTCTCAGCTCACAGGAGGTAGCTGTTTGTTTCTTCTGCCTGTGTGCCCTGTGAATATGAAGTTCATGGCCTGAATGTTTGAATCCGGATGATGGAGAGAGGATAATAAACTGTTTAGGACACTGAACTTCTGACTTGGCATTCTTTCCTTCTCCAGCACATTGAGAAAAGTTTTCAGAGTCTCTCAAATGTTTAGAAAAACAAAATAGCAGCAACACTAAATAAAACACGTATACCCTTCCATAAGCGCCTTTATGGCAGAGACCCTCATGCCATCTGGAAGTGATGCTGAGGGCGGTGATGATGGAGAAGAAGCTGCCACAGGCAGCTCTCGTCTGTCTCTGAGCTGATGTTGATGATGGAGAGGACGCTGTCACCAGGCAGCTCCTATCTGTCTCTGAGCTGATGGTGATGATGGAGAGGACGCTGTCACCAGGCAGCTCCCGCCTGTCTCTGAGCTGACAGCTTCTCATGCCGTGTTAGATTGCCCTCCCGGGAAAGGACACTCTAGGCCACTGCTCAGGATAATATGGCCGTCAACTTACAGAAGATTTCATCCGTTCAGAAGCTGTTGACTGTGCGTCTGTCCCACCAAGCACCGTGCTTGGCAGCAGAGGTCCTGAGTAGCGGGGGTAGTCACTGCTCTGGAGAAGTTAGTCAGTGTCAGGCAACGATGAAATGAGGCTGTGGCAAGAGACGGAAGAAGGTCGGGAGCACTGGGGTCAAGAATGGCTTATTTGTCAGTGGCCTGATAGTGCTGACTAAATTCCCGAAGGGATAAATTAGAATGAAGGCACCAGTTGACCTGGGTCGCCATGAAGAGCATTCTTGCTTACCTATAGAGACGTACGTATTTGGAGAAGTTGTCACCAGGAGCTCTGATAACCTTGCGTGTGCATACACAAATTAAGATGGTACTTGTAATATCTTAGGGATTAACGTAGCATAACCAGTTATTGTCTGTCAGAATGTCACCGTGTGGCATGTGGCCACATGTGATTTATTACACAGGTGGTCAGAGATGTTTCTTATCACAGTGTGCTTGATGGACACCAAAATAAACTGTATGTCTCAGCCAGGATTTTTGAGATTTGGGTAGTGAGAAAGCCCGGGGGAACCAGTTTGTGGCATCTTCTAAAGAAAATGGTGAGTCTGTTTTTAGTTCATATTTTTAAATTTAATATCACACCCTGTGATACAAATGCAGTCACCTGCTTGGTCTCATTGGACACAACTATCAATGTTGCTTTTCTGCTTCCTTCGTTTTCTTCAAGGGGGTTGGTTCTTGAGTTTGAACTCAGGGCCTGTGCATGATAATCAGTTGTTTGGCTAATTATCTATACTCCTTGGACCCTTTCATTACTATTATGTTTCTTCTCCGAGTGGGTTTTACCTGCTGATTGAAAACAAAACCCACCATAAACCGTATCAGCCAGATTAAGCCTAAACATGCTAATGAATTCCACTTAGAAGTACTGACTGGAAAATACCAGACCTTCTCCTGGAAGAAAGGGCTCGGGCGTGTGGGCGGCGTCTCAGACATGTCTGGGAGCCCACCTACATTGAGCCAGGGCAGGGGAGGTAACAAGTCTTCTGAAAACTTCTTGGGGAGGGTGACGAGAAAGAGGTGAGCTGATTGCCTCTTCTCCATGATCCCTCGGGATCTCTTGGGTGGATGAGGCAGGGGCATTGGAGCTTCTTGCAACTCCAGCTTTACATTCGAAGTCCTTGTAATGCATGCCATAGCCTTGGGGAACTCCCATAGACCCCAAAGGTCTGTGCCTTTGCAGTGACTGAGCGAGCTGTGTGGAAGTGACCTTGCTCCCTGGAGCTGCTGAGTACAGAAACCCCTGGGCAGCAGCCTCTCCAAGGGGAGAGCAAAGTCCCCTGTAAAACACACCATGATGACAGATGTGTGCTTGACTCAGTAATCTCCTCTATCAAGCTTTCTAGAAGGACCCACATTTAATTGCCCAAGGAGAGACAGAGACGTATGTGCCTTGCCTTTCTGAAGCTGTCTCACAAAGGCTGGCAGGTTGCTCCTGTGGGCAGGGCGGGGGAGGGCTGGACCCGTCGGTGTGGAAGTTACTGCGGCTGAGCTCCCTCGGAAGCACGTTTAGATCAGGATAGTGGCTGACCGTTGTCTTCTGGAGCTGTGTGTTTTTCAGAACCACAGCCCAGAGGATCCTTGTGGCATCTGCAGATGTCCTCCCATTTACCCAAGGCTGATAGAGAGAGACAGACAGAGAGCATGAGCTGCACAGCCGCCACACAGCCAGAAAGTAGCCCTGTCTAGATTCTAAGGCTGGAGTGTTTCCAGCCAGAGCACATTCAGACTTCTCACTAGAGAGTGCTTTTCAGGGCTCTGTCACCAGCCAGCTCCAGTGCTAAGGACCCGAGTTCAGAAGAACTGTAGAATAAAGGACCAAGCAGATTTCCATATCTGGTTAGGGATAAATTCTTCAACTGAGACCTCTTCTCAACTGTAGGCTGCGTCAAGGTGACAGTTAAAGCTGACTGGGCACCTGCTTCCCGTCAAATTTTCATGAATGAGTTTTTAGCTTCTCTTGGTGATTTTGTTTTCTCTTTTTTGGGGGAAACGGGTATACTGAGGATTGAACTTAGGGCCCAGTGTATACTAAGCAAGTACTCTACCAGTGAGCAGCACCCGTAGTGTCTGCTGGTGAATTCTGCTGCGTGTCACCTGGGCAAGAGCCGGCTGAGCAAGGTCTCCTGGATTCCTCTGCTATTTGGTGGTTATAGCTCACTGCCAACCTTATGCATTTGGATTCCCAAGTCCCCCAGCTTTGTCCAATGGGACCCCTCTGTCTGGCTTTTCTGTCCTTGGATCTGTCTTCATGATTCCTTGGCTTATTTTGTGGTTTCCTTATTTTGTGGTATAAGAAGATACTCACAGTCCATCTCGCCCTGTAATTTGCCCTTTCTTTAAGGAGCTCTTGTTTCTTCTAAGGGAGAATGGAATGAAGGAGTCAAGAGCTGGTCTCTTGATGTCAGAGTGCTCTCATTGACTGCCTCCAGGGTCTTCTGGTGTGAAGAACTAGAGCGTGTGTGCCCGTGTGTGTGTGTGTGTGTGTGTGTGTGTGTGCGTGCCCGTGTGTATGTGTGCGTGTGTGTTGTGAATAGCACAGGTTTATCCTTTCTCCGTCTTAGCATATGGAGGTTGACGAAATGCACTCAGGTGGGACTGTATTTGCACAACTGTGCAGTTCTGAATGTTTCCTCCCTTCAAATCTTTTAACAGGTGGCTCAACCCCTTGTTTAAAACTGGTCATAAGCGGAGACTGGAGGAAGATGACATGTTTTCAGTGCTCCCTGAAGATCGCTCAAAGCACCTTGGCGAGGAGCTGCAGGGGTAAGGAAGCGGAAAGCATTGCAGGGCGAAGCCAAGCGTGCGCATTCTGGTGTGAGCAGGCTTGGCCTCCTCCTGGGTCCCTTGCTTTGCCTCGGCCTTCTGGATCATCATTCTCCCAGCATTGCTTGCTCCCCTCAGGTTGTCTTGGCTTGTCTGACTGAGTGGCCCTGGGAAAGAAAAACCTCTGCTGATAGATGTGGGGAGAGCCTGCTCCTCAGGCACTTTTTCTGAGACCTGTCCCCAGCGTTATTTCCACTCAAGCAGGTCCCTGCCTTCTCTGGTATCACGGTTGCTGTCATCCAGCAAAGCTCGGCAGGACCTTGTTCCCTGAGGTGTACCCCCTGGAGGCCCGTTTTTCTGGTGCAACAGACTCTGCCTCACACATCTTTCTTGGTCCCTCGGGACAATTAGCCAGTGTTTTGCAGCATCCTCGGAATAACCCGGTTATAAACACTTAACCTGTCCTTCTGTCACCTCCCTGCTTTACTCAACGGCAGTGCTTACAGTTCCTGACTCAGCTCTCATCCTGCTGTAGGTACTGGGATAAAGAAGTTCTGCGAGCCAAGAAGGATGCTCGGAAGCCTTCCTTAACAAAGGCCATCATCAAGTGTTACTGGAAATCCTACCTGATTTTGGGAATCTTTACATTAATTGAGGTAAGTGTCTGCTATGCCCTGACAGCTGTCTCTGAGTTGTACCAGGAGGGGGCATGCTAGCTGTCAATCATGTCAAGTGGGTGGGACCAGTACCCGGAAGAGGCCAGTGGGGTTTGAAAGGGTGTTGAGCTAGGGAAAGCAGGACGACAAAGCCAGTTATTGTATGTCTTTGGAATGGGAGATGCTCACGTGACTGGAGCTGGAGGACATTCCCATTTCTGACTAGTTGAAATGCACTGTTTCAGCTCAACAGTTAAGAGCACTTTCTGCTCTTGCAGAGGTCTGGGGTTCAGTTCCCAGCACCCCATGGTGGCTCACAGCCCTTCCTGAGTCCAGCTCAGTGGGATACTACGTTATCTGCTGACTTCCGTGGGCTCCAGCACAGACACAGTGCACGCACATTACTCGCAGGTAACACACGTCCGAGCACGCAGAAAACAGATAGGTCTTAGCGGACGTTTAGAGCCCGGTGCCGTGGGAAGCTCGAGCGTCTCGCAGCACAGTGTGAATGCTGGCCTTCGATCACTTCTGTAAGCGCAGAATGGTCTTTGATCACTCTTGAGGAGACATGTCCTGTGTTTCAGAGGAAGTACATTTGGATCAGAGCCCAGAATAACTAGTGCCCAACAAGTAATTGTTCACTTCACTGTGCCAGATCTGATAAATGCTTTCCTGGGACGGCATTGTCAACTTTCCCTCTCAGGTAAACAAGACTTGGGGCCCGTGTGCCTGAGCTAGCTGTGGTGCCCCAGAGGCCAGAACTCACTGCGGCCCAGGAGCTCTCACCCTCTGCCAATGGCTGGGCCCTGACAGCTGGACCTGCGCTAGGCCATGGTCCACTCTTAAGCTTTCGTGCCTTCCATGCCATTCATCCTGGGCTTTTGTTTTTGTCGTGGAATAGATTGCTGACCTAAAATTGAGTTTTGGTAGCCTGGATTGCAGAGAGATACAACCAAAGATTGAAGGCCATGATAGTCTTCAGAGCCACCCATTAAGACAGACAGTCTTCTGCCTAGAAGACAGTGCCTGTGCGGGCCAGTGCCAGACAGTGCCTGCTGGAGGGGCTCCTGAAAATCTGGCTGTGTGGTTTGCCTCTTTGGTGGTGTCTTTAAGAGAAAAATATTATTTGTATCTTTATTTGTGTCTGTGTGTGCTTATGCCACATACATTGGGATGTCTGAGGAGGCCATACGAGGAGGTCTGATTCCTTAGAGCTGGAGTTACAAGGCAGGTGTGAGCCTCCTGACATGGGCACTGGGATCTGAACCGGGTGTTCTGGAAGAGCAGGAAATACTGTTAATCACTGTGCCATTGCTCCAGCCCCCTGGTACCTTATGGCTGCTTTAGGAATGCCGGAGGTCTCAGACGTGGTTGGACATCCTGTTCACAGAATGTTCTATAGAACGTTCTAATGCAGCTCTGCAGAGGGTGGGAATGTTTCTGCAGAGGGGTGGCTGCTGGTGCAGGTGGCTGCTGGCTGGGAGGTTGTCGAAGGTGCACTTGGTAGGGTGAGATGAGCCAGCCTAAGGCAGGAGAGCAGGCTGCCACTGGGCATGCTCTGTGCATGTCAGAGGTGTGGAGTTCTGCTCTGTGCCGTTGGAGAAAGGAGCGGGAGTGCTAGGTAATGGGAGCAGTTTGTTCCAGAGATTGCCCTTCTCTTGTCTACAGAGGTGCCGAGGCCCTTGTGCCAGACAGTGAGTGCTTGCTTTGAGAGGTAGTTCCCACTGCCTGGGGGCTGTGTGTAGCTTGGAGAAAGGCCACCTCACGCTGCCGGCCAGTGGGGGTGACCTGAGGGTGAGAGACGCACACCCTCAGGCTCCTCCAGCCTGGAGTTTGTTTTACTTGTGTTGTCACAGTGATGGCATTTTTTATGTGGCTGCCGTGAGTCTCAGTTTAAACTTAGAAACAGAGCAGGCAGCAGTTTCTGTAGTCTGCTCGTGTGCAGGTCCCTGGCCCAGTGCAGCTCTGCAGCCATGCCTGCTGGGAGCCAAGGGAGCGCTGGCTCTCCATATGTGCTTGGGACACACAGCAGGTGTGTGGTGTCATGTGACCCAGCGGCTTCACATAGGTGTGCCATCCCTTGGGGTGTCTGCTACCTGGTCCTGCTGTCTACCGCTGTAACCAGGTACTTCACATACTGAAAGCCACATGATTGAAGGGTGGTCTGGCTTTGACCCGAGCTTCTGGTTGTCCATAGTGCGAAAGGCTGCCCTCTCCTTCTGGAGGGAAGGGGGAAGGTGAAGCCTCAGATGTTGACCAGATGCCATTTCACAGTGAGCGTGAGTCTTGCTTAGTAGGATTTTTTTTTTTTTTTTTTTTTTTGAGGGGTGTACAGGGACAGAGGTACAGGGACAGAGGCTGGGTGAGCTCTGCTGGGTGAGCTCCGAACATCACGTTCACTCTTGTCCGGCTTTAGGAGTGCACACTGCTGGAGCTGGGAGGGGTCAGAAGGCAGGAAGGCCTACAGCATGACCTGCAGAAGGCCGGCCTCTCTTTTAGGAAGTTGCTTATTGGCAAGCCATGGCAGAAAAGTGGAGAATGGAGTGCCTGGTGAACGTGGAAGGCCTCCCCAGGAGCAGTGGTGGCAGAAGCAGCAGCAGGAATACCACTGTTCGGGATCAGCCGGGCTCCTACTCCGAAGCTGTAGTCTTTGGTATCGCTGGCAGTAGTACTCAGTGCCAGCACTGTGCTGGCTATGGTATTGCTAACAGTATTACTCAGCACTAGTACTGTGCTGGTTATGGTACCGCTAACAGTAGTACTCAGTGCCAGCACTGTGCTGGCTATGGTATTGCTATAAGTATTACTCAGTGCTAGTACTGTGCTGGTTATGGTATCGCTAACAGTAGTACTCAGTGCTAGTACTGTGCTGGCTAATTTTATGTTCACTTCACACAGCTGGTGTCATCTGGAAGGAGGGAACCTCAGTGAGAAGATGCCTCCTTAAGTTCTGGCTGTAGGGCATTTTCTTAATTAGTGATTGATGGGGGAGGACTCAGGCTATTGTGGGTGGAGCCATCCCTGGGCAGGTGGTCCTGGGTTCTCTAAGAAAGCAGGCCGAGCAAGCCATGAGGAGCAAGCCAGTGAGCAGCACCCTCCATGGCCTCAGCATCGGCTCCTGCCTCCCGGCTGCTGCCCTGATTTCTTTCAGCGATGGACTGCAGTGTGGAAACTCTTTCCTCCCCAAGCTGCTTTTGGTCTTTTATCACAGCAGCGGTCACTGCGCTGAGGACGGCAGTGGTCAGCAGTGGCAGCGGGGCACTTCCCAGTAGCGGCAGCAGTGACAGTGGCGGCAGTGTTAGTAGGACCCACATTCACTGCCAGTGCTGGTAGTTTACTAATAACTGAAGGGTCTTGAAAAATGCTACCTTCCGGGAATCATGTGTGAGTCCTTTATGCATGGATGCTACTTTTATCCCTTTTAGGACCTTGGTGAGCTGTGTGTGTGTATGTGTGTGTTCTTATTATCAGCAAGCCCCTGAGTAACGAGTTGCCATGTGCCCAGGGCCGCTCCAAACATAAATGACAACGCTGATTTCTGTTTCAGGCACTCTGAGATGAGGCCAAACCTAGACTGGGGCTGGTCTAGGGTCATGAACTTTGCCCTTGGCATCTTGAGTAGAGGTTGCTTGACTTTAGCTTAGGGATAATGGTGTCAAGATGGCCTTGGTGCAGTGCTGGCACATGAGTTTATCTGTTAGGACGTGGTCCGAAGTACAGTGTCTCCTGGGGCGGAAGGTCATGCAGTACTGGAAACCGGCTGTCAACTGGCGAGCCAGTGTGTCTCAGTGTGCCCAGTGTGCCCAGATGGGTCTGGAGTCCTGTGGAAAGCTGTTTGTCACCCACCCTGAGGTTGGGCTGCCTCACACACCAAGTTTAGCATCCTCTGCTACAGCAGCTGGTGGGTTTCGATGCCAACGGCAACAGGAGGAGCTTGCTGGCCTGTGCCGAGACTGAGAGGTCTGTTCTTTATTGAGCCAGGGTCACAGCGTCACAGGATCACAGTGTGTGCCATTTGCTGGGTCCTGGATCAGTGGGGCTACTGAGGCCAACTCTTTTTCTCTGGTAGCTGGCACACTGTGCTACTTGCTGGGTTGGCTCAGGGTAATGGGATTGGCAGCGTTGGAGCAGATGTGGCCAGGCTTTGCCTGTTAGGGCTTTTCCATTGCAGTTTAGATAACTTTCCTGCAGTTTATGCTCTAACGCTGGATATGGCGGCTTAATTCCCTTAATAACGATCAGTGTTGGAGGCTCACACTATCTGTCTCTGCTGTGATAGCTAGCTGACTGCAGCGCAGCGGAATCTGGGGAATGAAGAGTCATCTGTGTTCAGCTAAGAAACCTTTGGCTTCTTTAGTCTTTTGTTTGTTTGTTTTTACTCTGTCAGCAAAATGAAGCATGGGTTCCTATACAAATACTTTTCTTTCCAGAGCCTGGTGTATTGGCGCTGCTGATTTGGAGAAGTCAAAAATAGTTTCGTACGGGACAGCTAGTAAGGATCCATCCAAAATGTCCTGATGGGTGTGGTGGCAAATGTTACCTGAGAACATTTCAATCTGTACCTTTAACAGTTGAGCTTCCCTCTGTAGACTGATAGCACAGTTGCTCCACAAACACTTTAACTAAAGCTTTAATACCACCAATGTGTCCAGCAAGGGCCCATTTCCCTCTCTGGCTTTGTTAACTAACCTACATTGTATTGATTCGTTTGAGTACCACTATATTGCCAGCTAGGGCTCTGGGGCTCCAGTGTTCTTCCCCCTCAGTGCCTTAGATATTCGGGATTATTGGTACAGGCATCAGTGTACCTGGCATTCATTCATTCATTCATTCATTCATTCAGTCAGTCAGTCAATGTATGTATTCTTGTGACTAAGTCTGTAGGTGTATGTGTGAGTGTGGGTTTGTTTGTCCACCTAAGTACAGTGCCGATAGATGTCAGAAGGGGGCATAGAGAATTACACATGGTTGTGACCTCCCAACCTGGGTGCTGTAACTTGAACTCAGGCCCTCAGCAAGCTTGTTCAGCAGAGGTTCCTGAAGCCTGGGTTGGCCCGATGGCATTCCCCCTGCGTCACTGAACTTGTTCTCCTGGCACCAGAGTTGTAGATAAGGAAGGAGCTGATGCCTCCCCACTCTGCAGTATGACCTCATCTGCAGAATCATCACTCCAAGGGCCCAGCGTGCATGTGCTTGCTGTTTTCGTATGTGTGACCTTAACAGGGGCCGCTGCAAAGTGGTGGTATGGCAGTATTTTCTCACTTGATTTATTAGCTGAAATATTCTCATGATGGGTAAGTCTGCTCTGGACAGCCTTTTGTTTATCCTGGGGTACTGTATATATTTAAAAAAAAAAAAACAAGAGAATTTCTTACTTCTTTTCTTCTAAAACTAGTTTTCAAACAGCCAATGTCTCTTTAACCTTCTGTGCTGGGGCTGGTGAGCTGTGTGTGTTGGTCCAGAAAAGAGATTACTTCCAAAGAAGGCTGCTGCTCCTGTCCTCTGCTGCATTCCCACTCTCCTTTGGAGGTGATTGTATTTAGTTAAGTCCTTTTAAATATTATTTGTGTGTGTGTGTGTGTGTGTGTGTGTGTGTGTGTCTGTGTCTGTGTCTGTGTACGTGCACGCACGCGTGCGCGCGTGCGCGTATATAAAGGTCAAAGAACACTTTGGGAGTCAGTCCTCTCCTTCCACCATGACTTCAGGGATCAAATTCAGGTCATCGGGCTTGCCTTTTACCCATTGAGCCCCAGTGATGGCTTAAGGTCATTGAAAAACCAGCTCTGAATCATCTTTTCCTTTAGTGAGCAGTGCTTCCTGAATGTTAACATTTTCCTGCTGTTTGCTGAGCTAGAGTGCTTTGTAATGTGGTCTGGAAACTTGCGGGTTGGTTCTGGGTTCCTGTGTGTTCTCGCTGGATGTGCCCTGTACGGAAGCAATCCTCACTGAAACCAACTGTGGTCTTGCAGCTTCCACACGGCTGCTCCGACATCCCCTGTGACGGGAGCCACAGAGGTGGGGCATGGCAAACAGTGGTGGTGATGTTCTGGCACTGGTGTCTGTCTTCAGGACCCTCCTGAAGGAGGGAGCTCCGGCCCCACACATACTGTCAGTGAGTCTGAGTCCGTCCGTGATCAGAGGGCTCTGCACTCAGCGACGCTTACGCATCCTTTGTGGTCCCAATTCATGCATCTCGAGATCGCGGCTGAGGTGTAATCCCCGGATCCATCCGCTGGGTTCCTCAGGCTCTGGTCTTTAGCCACCTTGTTCCTGGCCCCCTCCTGCCTGGACTGCCCACTCCTCTCTCCCCCAGGCTGACACTTCCTGCTCTTGGGTTTCACTGCAGCGTGCATGACTTTCTTTGACATTTTGTCTGGTCTCCTGTGCCTTCCTCTCATCGCACAGATCGGGGACTGTGAAATTGGACAGGAAGAGTCTCCATCCTAAGGGAACATGAAAGCTGCCAGGCCCAGTGGGGACAGTGTCCCATCAAGCTCTGTACTAAGTGACTCTGCAAAGCAAAGTGGTGTGCCCGAGTGCCGAGTAATGCTTCACTGAAAACTCGCTACCTTCAAGGGCTCAGAGGTGGGCACGGGGGCCCTGACCACATGTGGCTCAGAGGAGTGAGTCCCAACACAAAACCACACACTTACTTAAAACTTTCATTTTTTTCTTCTTTTTAGATAGGGCTGGGAGGGTTAGGAAGCCGACCGTGTGGTTCTAACTGAACTTTGTAGATAACGGTGTGGACCAAAGGAGCCCAAAGGTTGGGGTCTTGAGGGATCACCTTGGACTGTAATAGTTCCATGAAGTTTCAGTTGAGAATTTTGCTGACAACACAGGGCAGGAAGCTTCTTTGGTAGGGCACTGAATGGTATCCAAGATGAAGGTAGGGCTTTCTTTGAGACAGCCTCTTCTGCGTAGATCACGCTCCTCCAGACCCTTGTCTTCCTGCCTCTTCCTCCAGATTCTGGGATTACAGGCACGTGTGCATACACACCCAGCTCTGTTTTCACCTTCTCCTTCCAGCTCCCGGAAAGCTTGATTCTATTCAGCTAGCAGCTTGGTAAGCACTTTAGTTGTCTCACTGTGTCTTCCTAGGGAGGGGTTGGGATTCGAAAGAACAGGTCGGTGGAACGAGGGTAAGGACTGGCCAGAACTAGGCTTGCTCATTTAGAGCCTGCTCACTTACGTGGATTGCTAGATGCCACATTCCAGCTGTGGCACACAGTTCCCTAGTGTCGACCTGCCTTTCTTTTGGTTACCTCCTTTCCCTGTATTCACCAAGTCTTCCGTTGTTCTGTCTGTCACTCTCACTCTCTGGGAGTCCCAGGCAGTCAGGACAGTGTGCAGCAGGCAGCAACAACTCCATGATTACGTCAGGCAAATTTGGAGTGGTGGGAGTTAACCTGGGCTCCTGGCGGAGGGCCCAGGTCAGTGTGCTGCCGACCTGGCTGTCCTGGCTTCTCCTAGGCCTAGGTCTCCTTGTGAACAGAGGGGCCTGGTCTTCTTGTGCTGATTCTCTGCACTTCTGGAAAGCTGTGCAGGGGTGGAAGTGGCAAGGAGCCTCTGAGTTCCTGGAGTCTGATGACCTTTGTTCGTGTGTGCGTGCATGCGTGTGCGTGTGCGTGTGCGTGTGCGTGTGCGTGTGTGTGTGTGCACAGACTGTGAGATTTAGTGTTGTGGCTCATGTGAGGGGCTGAGGCATCTCCTGTAAATGTGCTGACTGGCACTGGTTGCTTGGAAACCTTACTAACTTTGTTTCTGTTTTTCTCCTTCTCTTTCCCTGCCTCCATGGGTTAGGCTGCTTACACCATGTGGATAGAAAACAGCCATCAAAAGCACAATTGTTGGCTGTTTGCAGGTCTATCTTGCTTAAAAGGAAAAGCTGTTCAAATTTAATGTTTGAAAGATTTCCAAGCCTAGTTTTTTATCCGTGAGGAGGAGGAAATGCTGTGAGTCTGTGTATTTACTTTTGGTGACTTGGGTTTGAATTTTTTTTTTTTTTTTTTTTTTCCGTGAGGGAGGAAGTGGGTTGGGGGTGAGTGGCCTGTGAGTCAGGAAACTACCTGTGGTGTCCTGAGGGCTCAAGTTCTTCCATGCTGGGCAGAAAATGGCTTCCCCTTAGCTTCAGTAGGTAAGCCCCAGGACCTCTCACCTCATTGGTATAGGACGTTGATTTTTGCTTTAGAGAATAGATGGTTATTAATATTGATTTACAATCTAAGGCTGGTAGAACACCACTCATGCTGACTGCTTTTAGTCCGTCATTGTGCCAGGTGTAGTTTTTGAATCTGGGCTGCCCAAGCGGAGGTAGCAGTACCCTGGGCAGACCCTAGTGTCTAGGGGATAGAGACGTATTGCACTCGTCTCTCTGGGGACCTTACAGGTACTGCCCCTTCTCAGCACAGCCGGGGGAGGTCTGGGGTGCACTGACATTCAGAGCTTGTGCTTCGGAAGGTTGGAAGGGTCTCCTTTTTGTCTTGTGTTTGTGCATATCCCTTAGCTGAAGGTAGCTGGACCAGGAGGGGGAGGTGTCCTGAGCGTTTGTGCCTCTTGTGAATGGCTCATACCTTCACTTCCTGGTAGGCTGGGTGGGAAGCTGAGCGGCCATAGGAAACAGGGTGGATCAAGCGCTGGCCTGTCTGAATTTAAGGAAATCACTAGCCTGTTTCCTTTTTGGCCACTTTTTTTTTCCTTATTCACTTTTGGCCAGGATCTATTTGGCAGCCCGCTGGTTGTGCTTAAAGCTGATTCTGACATGCATTCAGCATCCTCTGCCTGGGCCAGTCACAGTGTGCGCTGTGACTGTGAGCTCGAGTTTAGGGTGGAATGCTTGTTTGCCGTGGTAGCCACGAGAGCGGCTTCGTTTCCCTCAGGTCAGGGATGAGTGGCAGATGGAAGGAAAGCTTGTGTTGAGAAGAGTTGGTGTGGTTCCATCCCTAATGAGAGCTTTTTTTCTTTCTTTCTTTCAGGAGAGCACCAGAGTGGTTCAGCCCATCTTCTTAGGGAAGATTATTGATTATTTTGAGAAGTATGATCCCGACGACTCTGCGGCTTTGCATGCAGCTTATGTCTACGCCGCGGTGCTGTCGGTGTGCACGCTCGTTCTGGCCATACTGCATCACTTGTACTTTTACCACGTGCAGTGTGCTGGCATGAGGCTGCGAGTCGCCATGTGCCACATGATTTACCGGAAGGTAAGCGACAGTGACCTGTTAAGCATGTGTCAGCCGAAGCCTCGGGAGCGTCGGGAAATGCTCCCGTAAGTTAGAACTGTGTCGATACACTGGGAGTTGTGGCACATGCCTGCACTCTCAGTGCAAGGAAGCAGGAGCAGGAAGTCAGAGGTTCAAGGCCCTCTCAGACCGCCTGATGTGACCCAACCATGAAAACAAACTGAGCTACACTGGGGGAGCTGGCTGTTTGGCTTGGGCTATAAAATTTATTGTTGCTATTCTTACTTACTCTGCACAGCTTCCCTGTGTAACCTAGCCGTCTCCTCTTGCTCTCAGATGTGGTTGCTTACAGGACCAGGCAGGCTGTTAGGTCTGTCGCAAAGTCTAGGTTAAAAAATAAACGCAGAAATGATTTTTCAGTGTTTTCATAGCTAAATCTCATAGCTGTATTCATGAAACACCTTTTGTTAGTCACTAAAATCTTCACCGACACCAAAGTTGTACCAAAAAGTGATCTTCAGGGAAGCAGGGTCTTCAGAACTAAACCTAGGAGGAAACGCTGTCTCTGAGAAAGCTGTCTAATTTATCTCAACACCTTGCAGGCTGTATCGCAGTTATATGCCTTGATATAAACAGATTTATTTTAAACTTAAAAAAAGTAGTTTTGGGGAAAACCTTAGCTTCCAGGTTGCTTGTTGTTCTGAGTTTTGAAATGTGTTGCATCTCTCCTCTCTCCTCCTGAAGTTTTAACGATGAGACCTGGTGTGATGCGCCTGGTTCAGCTGTGCAGGGGATCACTCTTGCTCGTCCTGATTGGAATAGTTACGCAGGACAGCATCAGAAAGCCATCCCTGCCAGAAGGACAGATGTCAGGGGCTGAAGACTCTATCTATCCATCATGCATCAGTCCGCCATGGTCTCTTTCTTCCCTGTTCTTACTTCAAAAAAGATTCCTTTATTTTACTTTATGTGTTTTCCCTGTATGTGTACACACACACACACACACACACACACACACACACACACACACACACACCATGTGCATGGTATTTGGTGCCTAAAGACTCAGGTCCTATGCAAGAGCAACAGGTGTTCTTAGTTGCTAAGCTGTCTGGACAGCCAGTTGCCTGATTTTTTTCAGATGAGTTGCTGTTTGGAGATTCCATCAAATGGTTGGAATCACTACACTTTTAACGTCCTGTGGTTCATCTAGAACTTCTGTGGATTTTCTCAGCAAATGCAGTCTCCCAAGCACGTCTTCCTTTGAGCAGCAGCAGCTTTAGGAATCTCGGAGTTGCATGGTTTGTGGAGGCCTGGCACCTTAGAATCTATTAGGCTCCAGCAAAGACAGTGTTCTCTTCATCTGTGACGTGGCACTAGTGACTGTGTCTGTAGAGTTCGATCATGGCGTCTTCACTGTCGTCATGACTGCCGTGTCTGTGGTCCATCATCTCTTCTCCCATGTAGGAGAACACTGAGGTGTCTCTATAAATTATCTAGAGTTTAATCCTCCTGGATGCCGCTTAGTTCCTTCAGTGCTAAGGGATTTTAACTACCACTGGGCTGTGCACACCGCACGCACATCCATCAGGTAGGAGCTGCCAGTTCAGGTAATCAGAGCTCTTGCACAGGTGAGCGCACCTGTTTTTCTTCCTGTTTTTCTCTGTCGATGCTTTGGAACTGGCCTTTGGGAAATCTGATCTAGCCAGGTGGATTTGCTCACCTGACTGTAAGTAGGCGTTTTCTAGAGGTGTTAAATTGTTGGTATGGTTCTCCCGGAAGAATCTCTGTTTATGAAAGTGGGGAGTTGCTGGGGTCAAACAGAGACTTAGGCTGAAACTCTAGAAACGTGGGAAAGATGCATTTCCTCTTGCCTGCCTTGTGCAGGAAGTATGCCAAGGTGAAGCAATAAGAGGCTTCATCTCGAGGACTGCTTCTGCAGTTCATCTGGAAGTCCTTTGCAGAAGTTGCAGCTCAGGGATGCCCAGGCCTCACTGCCCACTCCACGGTTCTTGGAGATCAGTGGGTGGGATCAACGAGCAGCCATTAGGCTCATGGTAATAGTTGTGGAACTGAATGACCCCAGGAGATGGATCTTATATAAAAATGTCCTGTCAATCTGGAGAGAGGGCTTGGTGGATTAAAGTGCTTGGCATGCAAGCAGGAGGGCCTGAGTTTAGATGCCCAGACCCCAAGTAAAGCCAGGTGGCATGGCAGCTTGGCCTGCCTGTAGCCTTAACACGTAGGTGGAGACAGGGGACCCCCTGGGCACATTGCCCAAGTAGACTAGTGGAACTGGCACCCTTTGGGTTTCCTGAGAGACCATGCCTTAGTAAATAAAGTGGGGAACAGTTCTGAAGAGCCTGTCACCAGGGTCTCTGGTCCTCACGTGTATAGGCGCATGCAGCACACATGTACACATGTAATGACGTCACTTGTCATGTATTTGCGGTCACAGCTTTAATAAAGTTACACGGGCGTTGCGCTATCATCCTCCCTGGTTTTGGAAGTTGTTATGCCTTGCTAACCCCATTCCCTGGAGAGTCATGTCCCCTCTATCAGGAGACCAGTGTCCTTTCTTTACCAGTTGACTGGGTCTTGTGCAGCTTCAGGTCTCATGAGGTCTGTTGTCTGGCTTCACTGTGAGAGAGGACCAGGCGGGATGAAGTTGGCAGCTCTAGTCAAGGGGAAAATGAGCTGAAGGCAACTGGGCCCTCCCCTGCCACGGCCTCCTGGACCTGTGTCTCTCGCTATCTGAGACCTTGGCTCGGGGTCTCCACAGAATTGAACTTAGCTAAAGTTTGCATGTGGACACACAAGATGATGGTCTCAGCACCAAGGAGGCTCTTATTATTCTGCTTTTCCTTTTAAAATCCATGAGGTACAGAGTGTCTCTCCCCTAAGATCGCTGGCCTAGTCTGCTGTGGGTTTCCTGACTGTGTTCAGTTTGAAGAACCAAGGCAGGTCTGATTTCTGAGGAATAGATTGTGAGGGTGGCTGGCTTGCTCTGAAGGCTGATGTTGAGTGTGTTAGTCCGTCCTTGTTCTGCAGGGCGGACTTCCCAATCTATTCTGGATGGAATTGCTGGTCTTCACTAACTTTAGAGTTCCATGAAAGGAAAGCTGGTGGGAGGAAAGTGGTTCTCTGTTCCGTCTTCTGAGGTGAGTTGGCTCTACAGGCATGTCAGCTTCCCTTTGTTTGTTCTCATAGTTCCGTCTTCGGAGACCATATTTAACAAGGCTATCGCTTGGTGAATTGAAAACATGGACCTGCTCTGGGGATAGGGGAAAGGCAGTTGGTTGGGAGTTTGGCAGTATCCGTGATGCGAAATTCATGAATCTCAGATCGGAGATGATTTTGCTTTTATTTTAAACTAACTGTAGTTCAGTGTGGACTATTCTGCCTTATGTTTAGATAGGCCCGTCTTGATACTTCAGCCTTCCCAAAGCAAGGGCTGTCTTGTGGCTTGATCTGGTATTTGACTGTTGGTCTGTGGTTAGGCATTCTGAAGCTGTGCAGGGAGGACCCTGAGGGTATTGTCCAAGCGAACCCATGTGGTGTTTATGGTAAGCAGTACTCTGGCAGGACTTTCTGCCCTCACACTGCTACCTTAACACTTGACAGTTAGAATTAGCTGGTAGAACCTTGTACATTGTTGCAATAGTTTAACACTTTTCTATCAAATCACTTATTATTTTATTTCTAATATGAACTTGCACCCTGACTGGGCATTTTGTGGGATGATAATCCTGTCAGAGAACAAACTGCCATTCTCCTAACGTGCTAACAAAGAGCCAAGAGGGCCTGTTCTGATTTCTTGGTTAGAAACATAAGCTAGCAGGGAGAGGAGTCCTTTTCTCTCAGGGAGGTTATTGCTGCTGCAGCTACAGTGACGGGAATGGCAGCAGCGTCCTGCCGGGGCCCTGTGAGTGCTCTGTGGCCTGTGAGCGAATGCTGTGGAGGTCAGTGGCTCCCAAGTTGTGCTGGTTTATTGCATTCGTGTGTGCACGGGAGAACTTTAACCCCACCTGATGCTGGCTTCTGCTTGCAGATATTCTAATTTAGTTGTTAGAGAGAGAGTTTTAAGTCTCCCGTACAACACTAGTGAGCCTTGCTTGCACTTGACTGGACAGGTGGCGGCCTGTGGCTTACAGGCCTGTCCTCTTCAGTGGTAAACGGCACTGCTGCATTGCGGGCACATGCCTCAGTGATGGTGCCCTGTCAGCCTGGAGGGGTGTCTGAGGTGGCCTGGGTCTCCTGGGGAGGAGTGCCTGGGAGTTGACTCAGGGGCCTGGGTACCGATAGGAGGGGCTGTGGCAGGTCAGGTGGGATGGACACTTTAAGCCTGGGACTTCAAGAGCTATCAGACCTGGATTTCAGTCTCAATTTTTCCCTTTTTCAGGTTTTAAAGTTTTATGCAGAGAAGTAAGTTGATTTCTCACAGCCTCAGTTTCCTGGTCTTAAAATGGTGTAAAAGAGACTTGCTTCATGGGTGTCCTGTCCCCAGGACAAAATAGCACTTAGGATGGAATAATCATGTTATTATAGTAGGCTTATGGCTTATGGAATGATCCTGATGGTTGGTGGGAATGGGTGTCAGGATCTGGGTAGAGCATGTTTTGAACACTGAAATGGAAGGGTGAAGAAGAAATTTAAGGGCAGTGTCACATCAGGTCCAAATGATGGACCCTGGTCACAGGCTTAAGGCAGGGATGTGTGGTAAAGAGAGCAGGTAGATGGGTAGGGCTGGAATAATTTAAGGTGGGGGGAGGGGTATGCATTTAGTTGACAGATGGCAGCCATTGGCTTTTTGAGTAAGGAATGAAGGAATGACTGATCAGGGTGTGGCTTCATCATCCACTGGTGGCTTCATCCACTGGCAGCTTCATCCACTGGTGGCTCTCTGCCCTATGCTACAAAGGGTCTCTGATAACCTTGGGAATGAAAAGAATCCAAATAGGAGTTGCCTCGCAGTCTCTTATGGGCCATGCAGTGTGTCAGCCACGTTCAGTGTGTTTCGC